GCTGGGGATTTGAACCCGCCACCTTAGGTGTATGTGGCTGGCGCCTTAGCCGCTTGCCACAGGCACCGAGCCATAGGTCTTATCTTTTAAGTATGAAAAGTCTTAACTAAGGTGACAGATGTACTCTTCTGTTAATGCTTAATCACCTCGTTGGTCGTTTTAATTTTGTTTTTAGGAAACAGCTCCCAATCCTTATTTTATCCAGACCCAGGATGTGCATGTAGATCAGGAGTCAAAGCAGAAGCTATCGTACTTTTGGAAATACAGTTTTAAATACACCATTAGTGATTTCTGGTCTGTAACTTAACTTTTCTGCCTCAGCTCCAGAAAGCTAAAACCTAGGTCACAGCTACTTAAACAAAATAAAACAAAACCTTTAAGTCATAAAATGTCCTGATGACTTCAAAATTTGTATCAACTTTAGCTTTTTCTACATGACTTAGCGCAGGGGTCCTCAAACTTTTTAAACAGGGGGCCAGTTCACTGTCCCTCAGACCGCTGGAGGGCCGGACTGTGGTCCCTGAGTTGGCTGCTAAGCAGGACAGGCAGCCGTGGCAAAAACACCTGCGGGCCACATGTGTCTTGCAGGCTGTAGATAGAGGACACCTGATAGCACCTCAATTTCCTCATCTACTATCTTGCATTCTGGCCTCCGTTTTGTCACAGAGATAGTCTAAAACAATTTAGGCATGTGTCTATAAACACACCAGTTTGAATGTATTGCACAGACACACATTTCCTATAAAAATTTGAGGCACATACTCTCATGCTTAAAAGCTCTGAGAGATTTACCAAAGTAAATATTTAGATATCAGATTTTCCTAAAGGAAATTATGGACAAAAGAGTAAGTAAAACTCCATTAAGCAATTTAGTAGTTAAGATATAATCATTGGCAGCTTTATTAGTTCAATATGACTAATTTCTGCCTTTTCACAAATAATCCTAATGATGACACATAAATTTTAAGATTTTTTTTATTAGAATGGAAATTACATAGAACTACACCTACTATACGCTGAGAATTTATCATGAATTAGGTCTTATGGGGTGCTTCACCATGTCCCCTCTTTATATAAGGTAATACTCTCAATACTACTGGAATGCAGCTATAACTACATCATTTTAAAGATAGAGAAAAGTGAAGTTTAGAGAGTTGACTCAAGATGCCCAAAGACACAGTTCAGCATTTGCTCTTTGGTCTTTTGAATCCAAAGCTTATGTACTTAACTATTACATTACATTTCTTCCCATATAACTTTTTTTTCCAGGTTAAATATATTTGGTTAAATGAAACTCAAGGGCACTGGGGTATACCAAATTTAGGGGGAGAAGAATCTTTTATGCAGGTGAAGTTTAATATTAGTTATCTAACATAACCAAGTAGAAGCCAGTAGAACCATTAGAAATTGACTGCAGTGAAGAAAAGACAATGTCTGAGTATGGTTTACCATTTAATGAAGTGTTTATACAAATATCTTGTAATTCTTTTAACAACATTAGGCAGGAAGAAGTAGCACTGGCCCCATGTTTCAGATGGGGAAGGAAGGACCCAGAGAAATTAACTAACTTGCCCTAAATCACAGAATCAGCAAAAGTATGTGTGTAGGGGGATGGTGTGCAAAAGAAGTCAACCAGTGTTCTCAATCAATAGCCAAAGGTCCTACAGCTACAACATGGCAACCAAAACATACTGACTACTTTATCGGGTATAGTCCACAGGCAGCAGTTGCCTGTAACATCTTTGCCAGACCTGGTAGTGGCAGGATATTGAGAGTCCCTTAATCTAAATGGGTCAAAAGACTCAAGCTGGCCTCACTGTTTCCTTTTCTCATCTCCAGAATTCCCTTCTTCCCTGTCTTTATGTATCATAAGCTTTCTGGCTATCAAAAGGGCCTACATGAAACTGCCTTCTTCCCATCAGAATCCTATCTAGTAAAATAAATTTATATTCCTCTTGTACTGTATCAGTCTTTCATTCTTCCTGCCTACAAGTTAAAAAGAAAATCTGATAAAAGCAATCTATTACTACAAATCTCGCTAACATAATAAGTGTATTGTGGAAATTTGATAGGAAAAACATGCATAACCCAGCGGCACGCACAGTCAGCAGTTTGGTATGTCATTCACAATTTTTTAAAAGCAGCATTATTTTTTATTTTCCCTTTAAAAAACAGAAGTGATACAAAAAAGAATTCAGTGTAGTATCAATTGTATTGAATGTCTCAATTGAGCATCTCAGTATTTTAGATAATGGGATGAAATGGAGATTTAGAGGCAGCGTGAGAACTCCCTCCCGGAACCCTCTGAATAAATCTTTTTTTTTTTTTCTTTTTGTGGGGTGGGAAGACAGCTATTACAGAATCCTTTAAAACAATCACGAATGAATTGCTATTTACACTACTCTGATCAGTGCTTGGTCACCCTCTCCTATAGTCAGAATCCCAGAATAATACTGGCAAATCACTTTGAAGGATAGCCAATCCGTGCAGTTAACACACAGACACACACCTTGAAGTCTCAAGAGCTCCTGGCTCACTCATCACTTTATGTTTCAATCTACTATCTCATCTAAAACAACTGTCAAGTGAAAAGCAAAGTGTGAAGTTTTATCTTCCTCACAAACTTAATGAAGTGAGGGGAATACTTCCTATTAACTGCCCATACATAGTCCAAAACCACCCCCTCGGTCTGGTTTTGGAAGGATGTTAAACTAGGCACTCATCACTATAATACACCATTAATAGAAAAGAATCTTTACACAGAGGATAAATAATTCTTTTTTTTTTTTTACATATTTAATATCAGATCATTCTAGATCTCAAAAAGTTTATATCAAATCTTCTTAGATTGCTAGTAGGGTATAGTAATAAAGAACAAAGGTTTTTGAGTCAGCAGACCTGGGATCCAAGTTTTGTTTCTTCACTTTTCTTACAAGCATGTACTGAATTTCTTCAGTGCCTTGTTTAATTTATAAAATGGGTATATTCCTCTCTGCTGTACAGGAATTATCCATGATGCTTTACATGAAAGCACATGGTCAAGTGAAAGAAATGTCTTTATACAATTGCTAGTAATTATCTTTTTTTTTTTGAGACAGAGCCTCAAGCTGTCCCCCTGGGTAGAGTGTCATGGCATCACAGCTCACAGCAACCTCCAACTCCTGGGCTCAAGTGAGTCTCCTGCCTCAGCCTCCCAAGTAGCTGGGACTACAGGCGCCCGCCACAACGCCTGGCCATTTTTTGGTTGCAGCCATCATTGTTGTTTGGCGGGCCGGGCTGGGGATTCGAACCCGCCACCTTAGATGTATGTGGCTGGTGCCTTAGCCGCTTGAGCCACAGACGCCAAGCCGCTAGTAATTATCATTACAGATTTCCTCCCCCATCCAAAACCACTACACTTATATTTTATTTCCACTGATCAGAACAGGTAAAGCCAATGGATCAAAATAGGTAACCTTCTTGAACCAGGGCAGGTGGTCCCAAGGGGCAAATCTCCTGCAATCTCAGGAGAGAAGACAAGCCTTCTGATTAGGGTGCCCGTAAGTATGTGTAGGAGACCTTAGAAACTGTGAAGTTAAGGTCTGTCACGACTTGAATCTAGACATTAAGACTCCACTTTACCACAGGGCATTTTAAAATGAAGTTCTACTTTCCCTCGATCCACTATTTAATTCTTAAAATCTTGACAATGTAAGTTACTGTAATAAGAAATTAAAGGCATGGAAGATAAGGCAAAGTGAGACAAAAAAGGCCATCTCGATCATCAAAAGATAAGAAAGCACAGAACTTGGGCAGATGTGTAAATAAAAAAACTATTAAGTTTGACAAGAAGTGGCAGAGAAGTGTAAATGTTATTTTGAAAGAAAAGGAAACAGCAATGCTAACCTTAAGGGATGATACAGGCCTGGAGAACTCCGAGGCACGCAGAAAGGGATGTTAAAATAATAAAACGTGCCACATAGCACAGTACACAATACTAACGAAAGAAATCCTTTAACTGAACACAAAGTGGCTTTTTACTACTGTTGTAACTTTAGTGGGTAGAAAAGTGAAGTCGTTTCAAGGGATTTTAAAAAGGTTGCTTCCAGTGGTGGCAAAAGACGAATATTCAAAATATCGTACTTAAGTGTAAGCACATTTCCAAAAAGAGTACAGGAGATGACATTTAAAACAACCGCCTACTAACCAACCAAAAAGCCACTGACTTTTCCTGACTTGTAGAGGACCCCAAGTTGTCATGTGCACAAACAACTCTGAGAGTGGGCCGCGAGCACCGCGCAAACTTTCTCTCGTGGCCGTCCCCCAGAACAAAGCGCCCATTTCACTGGGTGAGAACAGCAGCGCGACCCTGGTACGGAACAGACGCTCAGCTCTGCTTCTCCTCCCCAGCTCGTGCGTCCCACCCAGCGGCACGGACTAGGTCCACGACCGCGAGTCTAGCCCCAGTCCCCCTAAGGCAGCCCTCCAGGTCCCTGGTGCCTTAGCACAGGCTCGCGGGTCGCCGCGCCCAATGCAAAGCTTCATTCATTGACCCCGGCGGAGGGACAGGCGGGCGACACCCAGCATGAGGGAGGCGTGTGCGGGGCTCGTAGCGGGGTTCCCGGGGCAGCTGCTTACTCTGGGTGTCCGTTAGGGAGATCATGGCTGCAGTGGTGAGGGCAGTGGCGGAACCACCTCGGAATGGCCAGGGTGGGAAGCTGAGTCGGGAGAAATGAGACTGGGAGGGAACCCAGGCGAGAGCCGCCACGTCTTCCGGAAACACGCAGCCACCCTACCCCCGCTTCAAGACCACTTCCTATTGGCTATATCCACTTGCGATCTCAACCAGTAAGCAGTGATTTTGTTCATTGACGCACAAGGTGGCCACGCCCCTTGACCAATAAGAGGGGGTTGTTATTCGCCATTGGTGGAACGCGCCGACCCGGAAGGGTGGATGCTCCCAGCCAGGTGGCGGGAAGATTTTATTGGAGAGCTGCGGAAAGAGGTGGGTAGCGGTCCTGAGGCCGGGTTCTTCGGTGTTGGACACCCGGGGGTCGGCGTGCGCTCTTTTCGCCCTGTGGGGAGCGGTTCTGGGATATCTCCTGTTACGCCTTTGAGGGGGTCAAGTGTGCGCATTCCTTCTTTGTACTTTCCCTTTTCTGTCTGAGGGCGAGGCTGTTTATCGCGCATCACTTCCTTTCACCAACACTTTGGGAAGAAACGAGGGCGTCACTCTCTGCTCTGTAGTCTAGAAGCTCTAACTTTTAGGGGCGTGTTCGCCCGCCGTTCGGTCTCTTTTGATCTCTCCAAGTCTTTTTCTGGAGCCACCAAAGCCTGTTTATTAGCAGCCGCCATTTATTGGAAAATACCACTGGGGATATTTCTTCCATCCTTCGCTTCACGGTAGCGTAATGGAGAGTATTAAGTTATTGCAGGTGGCAGGGAGAGGAGGGATTTGGGTCTGATTTAGCCAGTGCTACCTCAGTGGCATTTGCTCCAACATGAATAACGGGCTGTCACTCTCCTGTGAATGCCTCCCTTATACTTATGAGTGACAGACCTGAAATGGCTCAATTTCTTAATACATTTTATGTTGCAGTATCTATTAAATTACATTTAGGGAAGGAGCATTATTTTAACCTCATAATCAAGGGGTCATTTAAAATAATGGGGGAAGGTTTGATATAGAATCTATTCTTTCATAAGGGTGGATGACTGCTACTTTCAGTCTCAGTAAACCTGAGCCTGTCGTATGTGCAAGGAACTTTGCTAGGCTATATAGGAGGAGGCTCAAACTTTGCCCTGCTGGAGGACCTTACAGTCTATGGTAGGAATACATGTATTACATTTTCACGACGTGGTGAAGAGATGTTTATGTAGATAAACAAAAGGATTAGAAGTCCTTGGTTAATTCCTCTATTGAACCATATTTTCATGGCCATACTCGTTAGCAACGGAAAAAAAGACTCAGCCTATCTTTCCAGCCTGGTGGTGGCTTCCGAATTCTATGTAAGAAGGGCATAAGGTCAGTATTCTGAGTAAGGGTAGGGTGGTGCTCAAGTTACCTTTGAAGAGCTTTCTAACTTAGTTTTAGAAAATGTTGATTGTCTGTATTAGACAATTGGGGGAAGTGTATATAAGATTATGAGGAGTTTAAAGTTCCTACTCTCAAGCCTTATTTTTCACTTGCCTGTGTACATGTTGAAGTTTTAGTCATTCATAGGTACAACAGAGTTCCCTAATACAGCCCATGTTTCTCCCACCCACCCCCAATCTTCCCATGTTCTCATCTTCTGAAACATAACCCTTATATAAAATTCTAATATCTCTTTTAACTTTGAGGTTAAATTGTTATTTAAAGCAAGTACGCAATGGAATGTTAGATGGTTAATGTCATTATTTCTGCTGATGTATTTTGCTTAATCTGGGACATTTGAATCAATCCAGCTTCTTATTTATAAGATTGGCTCAATGGCTGGGCAGGGTGGCTGAACGCCTGGAATCAGCCAGCACTCTGGGAGGCTGAGGTGGATGGATTGCCTGAGCTCACAGGTTGGAGACCAGCCTGAACAAGAGCGAGACCCCATCTCTAAAAATAGCTGGGTTTTGTGGTGGGCTTCTATAGTCCCAGCTACTGGGGAGGCTGAAGCAAGAGAATTGCTTGAGCCCAAAGCTGGAGGTTGCTGTGAGCTGTGATGCCACAGCACTCTACCAAAGGGTGACAAAGTGAAACTCTGTCTCAAAAAAGAAGATGGGTCCTATCATCTCAGTTTTATGGGTAGGGAAAGAAGCTTAGAGAAACAGCGTGTGTAACTTTGCTAATTTAACAAATTATTCACGTAGTAATTCATTGCTAGAACTGTTTAATCTTTGCTCTTCCTTGCCACATCACTGCATTTGTTGGATGTTTACTGAATGTTATTGATATTGAAGCTGTCATGTATATGTTTATGTGACTTTGGATACTTCTCTGAAGTCTAGGCAGTTTTCTGTAAAAATTAGCATGGGAAGAGCCATGTAGTCCTTATTAGAAAAGTCACTACAATATATAATTTACTTTCATTTTTCATGCTTAGTAATGAAAGACTTTCATTGATTGAACATTATCAATAGTAGTGTTTAAAAAAATTGTTGCCATCATTCTTTTATTTCTAGAACGAAATTTGGATCTCCAATTCACTTTCAGAATGGTGTCCATTTCAGGTTAGTGGAAATGATTACATTTTGTTGTTTATTCTGTATTTCTAATTGTATGGTCTTTGAAGAAAGTGTTTGCTTGAAAAATTATTATTATAGAAATTATATTTTTCAGCTTTTATAAAAAAAAACAACAACTAGTTACCAAAGTACAGTCTATCAGCTTATTATATTGTGGTAAAATACATCAAGCAAAAACTGTCATGTTAACTATTATTAAGTGAACGAATCAGTGGCATTAAATGCATTCCTGCTCTTGTGCAACCATCACTACATCTCCAGAACTTTTCATCTTTCCATACTAAAATTCTATATCCATTAATTCACAGCTCTCTATTACTTGCTTTCTTCCAACCCCTGATAGCCATTATTCTACTTTCTGTTTCTATGGATTTGGTTATTCAGTGTACCTCATATAAGTGGAATCAAACAGTATGTGTCCTTTTGTGTCTGGCTTATTACATGTAGCATATGTCTTCAAGGTTTGCATTTTGTAACATATATCAGAACTTCCATCCTTTTTAAGGCTAAGAATATTACATTGTATGTCTGTATCACGTTTTGTTTATCCATTTGTCTACTATGGACATTTGGACATTTCTTTCAATGTTTGACTATTGTGAATAGTGCTGCTGTGATCTGTTGTGTGCAATTGTCTGTCTTAGTTCCTGCTTTTGATTCTTGTGGTTATAAATCTAGCAGTGAAATTCCTGGATTACATAGTTATTCTGTGATCACTTTTTTGGAGGAACTGCCAAACTTTCCATGGTGGCAGCTCCATGTCACATTCCTACCACCAATACACAGGAGTTTTAAAGAATGATATGTGTTTGACAGAAGAACCTAAGAAAGTACAAAGACGAAAATATAAATCACTTCTAGTTCCACTAAGGTTAATACTGTTAATATTTAGATTTATTTTTCAACAAAATTTTATATATTGTTTTGGTAAGGTGATTTTTAAAAACATAATGTAAATATAGAATATATATTGTTAAATAAATTCTGTTGTAATTCTATTTTTAAAACTGTGCTCTTTTGTTTTGAATTGACATTAGTTATTTAATCTTTTAGTGTTGAACTTTTAGGCTATTTCCATTTTTAAAGTACAACTAATGCTACGTTGAACATCTTTGAATCTAAATCTTTGTGTGCTTCTCTGATTAAATCCTCAAGATAAATTCCTAGAAGTAGAGGAATGCTTCTTTTTTAAAGCATCAAATAGAAAAACACTCATTACTTTACCTTTCCTAGGCAACCACTCTTAGCATTTTTATGTATTTCCGTCCATTATATGTTTCTATAAACTTGATCATATTGTACTCTGTTTATGAATGAGATCTGGCTATCTTTTTGAGTAAGGAACTTACTCTATCGTTTTTTGTAGGGTATAGTGGATATGGCCTTTGCTATATACTACCTCTACTAGTGGGGTAACAAGATTGAATTCTTTTCAGATTTGCAAGAAATGTTTTCTCCTCTATGACATTACAATTTATTTAAATACAAATATGTGTATATGTCCACCTTTCAAATCTCACATAGGGTTCACTTGTGAGCAAACCTAATCCAGAATCGTGTAAGGAAGGGGATTCTGGAAATTGGTATAATAAAAAGTCACCACAACATCCCACTTAAAGTCATAACCAGATTTCATCCCACGAAGAGGCATTAAACCTATATACAGATATATTATCTCATACTGCTTCTTGTTTGAGATATAATAAACTACACTCTTGATTCAAAATCAGACATTTCATATTTAACGACCTAAAGTCAAGTACCAGAGACATGTTTAAAATTTTTTGAGCTTCTATTGATGTGGTGTCAGAAAGAATACTTTGACTTCAACACTTGGATTGAACAGAATTTGAATTGAGGTTTCTCTATAAATTAGTTACAATGGAGTTATAATGTCAATTCCAATAGTATACTTTATTTCTCTTATATCTTGCATCATCTTGTTTATAATTACCAAACTCCTTATATCATCATGAGTCCAAATATGAATGTTTCATGAGGTAATGGCTAAGTAATTAGGGAATTAACTTCCTTTTGCTTCAAAGTCTGGTCACCTTACCTAAATGATTAGAAGATTGTTGGACCCCTGCTCTGCAACATAGTAAAAATGATAATAACTGTTATTTATTAAAGGTGTACCAGGCACTGGGTCAGGAAGTTTCAACATGTTATCACACTCATTCCTAAAAACAATACTATGAAGGTTAGGCACTATCTGCATTTTATAGGTGGGGAAGCTGAGGTGCAGGTCAGCATCTTGCTCAAGATAACTCAGCAGGTAAGAGGAGGACATGAGATTTAACCCAGGTCTGTGTGACTACAAAACATTTGCTCTTAGCCACTCTGCTGTACTACTTTGAGTTTGTTTGTAATTCAGATGGTGAAAAACATCCAAAGTAATCACTTGGGAAACCTAAAATTATAATTAACTTTGGTCATTGTTTCTCCCCCCCAAACCCAAAGCTCTAACCGAGGAACTGGATTCCATAAACAACGAGCTACATGCAGTAGAAATTCAAATTCAAGAACTTCTGGAAAGGCAACAAGAGCTTATTCAGAAAAAAACAGTCCTGACAAAGAAAATAAAGCAGGGTTTAGAAGAG